GCTGAGGGGCCTTCGTGGGAACGAGTAAGCAATTTTCAGCTGGACTAAGCGGGATTAAGCCGGACTCTGCGGGATGAATGCGGAAATCAGACCAACACCAAAATCATAATACGACCTCACACAAATTGCATCCGAAAATGGGTACGGAACAATTTGTACGATGCCCAACAACACATGTTGTCCAAAACGGACAGCGGCCGCTGTTGGGCAAGCGGCCCTCTGTCTCGAACGGACAAAATCCGCGGCGGCGCGGACAGCGAGCCCTCTCCAAAGTGAACAAGAAGTGCTGTTGGGCTTCGTACTCATTCTTTCCGTTCCCATTTCGTTCGTGCCGATCTGATTCAGTTCCCAAAACGGACGCCTACGAAGGGGGACTTCTAAGACCGTGGCGTTGAATGTGAAACCTCGAAGTGCGAGTGAAGGCGTCGTGCGACGACCTTGCGAGCGGATCCGAGCGGACTTGAGAAATCAACATCGCCCGTCTCAAGAGACAGTTTCCCTGGGGTCCCGTCTGGAACCACATGAACCTCCAGATGAACGACGATCCGAAACGGGTCTTCTTACGCAGGGAGCAACAAAAAAACATCCCCATAGTAGGCACTCAGGCAAGCGAAGCCATGCAATAAACGCACCGAAAACAGGAATCGAACAGGGCAGGGCTGTCCCTTAAACGTGGAAGGCCGTACCAATGGGTGGTCTATCCTCCATTGCGACCTTACGCCGCGGCTCTCGCGGGCCGCCAGCGCGGCACGCCACACTAGAGACGAGAGCGCTTACGCGCACACTAACACGGGCAGCTTGCAAGCCAGTGTGGCGGAGACAACCCCTTCTTTTGCATCGCTCAGGTGGTGCCACCCCATGGATGAGTGCAGAGCTGTGGGGGTCGATACTAAGAACAAATCATGACGTCGGGGGACTGAGTCCGAACCCTACCCCCACCAACCATAGACTTTCCTGCTTCGATGTGAGGAGGGGTAGAACTCGCATTTCGCCACGTGCCCGACGAAGTCCGAAACCTTTTCCCGCCTCCCATCGAGTTGCCTGAGACGTTGATCTGCGAGGGTAGGGTGCGGATTTCGCCGACGAACCTTGTCCTGCATCGAGGACACCAGCGGCACGTCCGCGGCGTCGAGCTCGATGCTCCCCGCGCGGGGCAGCTCACCAGGAATCTCTGGGTTGGCGCTCTTGACCAATGCCTCGGTCTTCATCGAAGGCATGGTTCGGTGGGGAGCGAGGGGGGAAGTTAGAAGGAACAGGCCTTCACAGAAGGCGAAGGGCCTTCTCAGAAGCCCTCGCGCCTTCCGAAAAGTCTTCTGTGTCTTCGGGGAAGTCTCAGAAATCTTCCCAGCAGACCGAGGGACTCCTGAGCCTCCTGAGAAGGCCCGCCCCTTCTCGCTTCCCCCCCGGGATCGCCACCGCATGGTGAAGACCGGCAAGCTTCCAGCCACCGCCTTGGGTGTCTTCACAGTGGTGATCTGCCGCTTCAGCCGCGGAAGCATGGCGGCGCCCCCCCGCGTCGGGCTCGTGTGGCCCGCGGCTTGCGCGAGGCTCAGGCTTCCTGGGCAGGAATCTCGATGGGCATGAGCCGGTATGCGGTCCTGCTCCACCTGAGCGGTGTCGTTCCCATCTCTGTGTCCTCACCTGTCTGGCTCCGACCCCAAGCGGCCCATCACAGCCATCACCACTATCGTCACTATGAATATCATCTTAATCATCTGCGTGACAATGGTCGTCATCATCACCTGCGGCTGCGACGGTGTCCTGTTGTATGTTTGAGATCGGGCAACTTCGCGCGGCAAGAAAACATCGATCGCTCAGGCTCTTGCCGTGTGGCCCTGGCCTGAAGGCCGCCGTCCGCGCCATTCGGCGGAAGCTGCTTCTTGACTGTGCCGGGGCAGCGCCCATCAGTTGTTCGCACGGCAGTGTACAGTCATCGGCCTGACCCAAGGAACGATAAATAAGGAACGAAGCCCCTTTTTTATCCCAAGGAATAACGCATAAGGAACGATACATAGCAAACCACGCATAAGAAACTGTAAATAACGCATGCAAACCTAAGGAACGACCGAGCCCCTTTTGAAAAGGAAGTGTTCCTTATTCAAGCCGCTCACTGTAAGAACAACGCGCTGGTGGTTGGGCCAGAACTAGAGGCCTCCGAGATCGGGTTCGAGTAGATGGGGCCAGAGGATCGACCCGCCTCGGGGCTGCATCGGAGATGCATCGGCGACGCATCGGCAGACGTCGGCGACGCACCCGCAACGTCGGAGTATAGAGAAAATCGGGCCGCACATCGAGCTGCATCGCCGATGCATCAGCGATGCGGCGCGATCCTCCGACCCAATCTGCTCGGACACCATCTGGCAGGGCTGAGAGAGGCCAGAAGTGCTGAGGACGGCGAATGTAGTTCGCCACGTTCTCTGTGATCCACCCTCTGCTGCTTGCCCTCTCGTTCGACTGCGTAGAGTCCAGTCAACACCCTTTGCCCTCCCGTTATGCACTTCATGCCTGCCCCCTGCCTTCGACTCTCCAATCAATCAAATGTGCAATCGACACTCTCCACGACATGTCCCGCTGGCTCTCTGTTCTTCACGATGTCCCCTGGAATCCATGACATGTGTCACTCCCCCTCTCTCCCTCTCGATCTTATCGTCCAGACAATTTTACTCTCTATGGTGTGTTTCATTTCATAACCATCATCCCGCTATAGTATGCCGCAGGTTTCAATTTCCTGGGTGTTTTGAAATTTGTCCAAGTAATGTGAGAGTTCGATTGGCGGCCGCCTCTCCGTTTCCAAATCGTGCAGAACATGTTCCGAACAAGGTGGCCAACCCGTGACTCGGATTGTGCAACAGATCCTTCGTTCGGGGGACGCGACCAGCTCATGCTGGGGAGATCCGAGGAATTCTGTAAGGGATTTCAGGGCAACACAACAGGGATGGTCTTGAAAGATATATGTGAGGTCGCTGAGATGTGTTTGTGCCACCTGGCTGTCTCCCGATGTACCCCTCCGCTCCGTACGAGTGCCTGGGAAGCCTCGGCAACGCCTGCGAAGCTCCTTGGCAATCTATCCGTCGTTGATCAAACGCAGAAAGCGCTAGAATCATGACCACAGACGCTGGCCGTGAAAAGCGAGGTGCTGATCGTCATCATCACCATCGGCGTCATCATCGTCACCCTCATCACTGACCCCATCAATCATTACAACTTCCACAATCTCACTAACACCATTGCCACAGTCGTGGTCGGCGGCCACGTCAACGACATCATGTTCGAAGACGTCGTCATCAATATCGTCATCATCATTATCGTCACAATCGGCGATGCCATCAGAAACGGCACACATTATCGCACACCTCTCCGTACAATCGGTACAACTTCTGGTCGCATGATGCCATCACGACCCCCGCCCCAAAATCAAAACCCAGCAACTCAATGCCGTCCGGCCCAAGTCGCCAGCAACGCCGTCGACAGAACTTCGGTTCTGCTAGCGCAGTCGTGGCGCCACCGCCATTCCTATGATCAGCAGCAATCAAGTTGAACATTCGAGGTGGATCATTGCGTGGCCGATGCGCAAATTGGGGGAGAAGATGGGCTGGTATAGGGGAACTTGGAATGCTCCGTAAACATAAACATTCGGGGGTCCAACGCCGATCCAAGAAATCCGCACCGTGCTCCGAAAGCTTCTGCTTGTGATGTCGTAGCGTTCGACAATTGGGATGGAGATGGGTTGGTAATGTAGTGGACGTCGTGGATGCGGAGCTGAGAGAATGGAAGATACTAACAACTCGACGCGTCTTGCACGCACGCGCAAACTCCCTCTGGGCGCACCCGTCCGCGACCGTTCAGCATGACGCCGACGGGCGAGTGGAAGCTGTTCTCGAGCCTCCAGGCAGTCTCTCTGCCTGCAACTCCTGTGCACTGCCTGCTCCTGCCCTCTCCGAAATGCAGTGCGGGCCCGGTCGCAAGAAACCCTCGCAAGAAGCCCAACCCTGAAAACACGCGCGCGGGGTGCACCCTCAGGGGGAACCCGGAGCACCCTGAACGCAGCAGCTTCTTTGAGGAAACCCAGGGTGCCCTGACGAGGAAGAGGAAAACGTTTTCTATTCTTCGCGACAACGGCCGCTACTGGCCCTGGCCGTCAGCCCCCCCCCCTCCCCTCCAAGCAACGACACGATTCGTGCTGGCTCCGAGTTGGCTCTGGCGACTCCCAAAGCATTCCCAGGCGGCGGCGCCGGCGCGAAACGTGACGGTACAGGCTCCCCCCCGACCTGCTCGCCCCCCCCAGGTAACGCCCGCTGCCGCCCAGGGAGAAGAAAAACTCTCTCGAGGATGGGTGTGGAGGTGAAGGGGCGCGGAGAAGGCAGAACTGGGATGAGGATTCAAGAGGAGGATGCGAGTGGAAACCGCGCTCGCCCGCGTCCCACGTGGGCCAGACAGAGAAGAACCATAGTGAGATCGCCGTAGCGACGCATGCTGCGACCTGAAATTGGTCGGGTCCGCGTAAGCAGAATCCCCCAACTCCCCCGAGGACGCGAAAGAGAAAGCAGAAGAGCGACGCAAAGGAAGGGGTCTTACGCGAGATGATATGGCGACCTTGGGCGGTGGCGCACGCAGGCCGCCAGCGCGGCACGCAGCAGTGGAGACGATGGCACTTACACGCGACCTTACGCGGGCAGCTTACGCGCGAATGGTCATGCAGTCGAACTCTTCTTTCTGCGTCGCTCATGTGTCGTTGCCTGCAGCGCATCGCATGCTTGTCACAGAATCAGCAGAGCGAGGCCACACGGCCGTACGGCGCCCACGAACGCGTAGTGGAGAGCAGGGAGGTGGGCGTTGGGGGGCCCAGCTCCAGGAGACGGAGCACTCCCAATGCTCGCCCTTCTGCTCCTGCTGGGCTTGCCTTCCACCACCACCACCACAAGACGGAGGGGGAGGGGGTCCTCCTCCTCCTCCTCCTCCTCGTCCTCTTCGTCGTCGTCCTCCTCCTCCTCCTCTTCGTCCTCCTCCTCCTCCTCCTCCTCCTCCTCCTCCTCCTCCTCCTCTTCCTCCCCCCCTCCAACTTCTAGGTGGTGATGGTGGTCAACAGGCCCTCCAGCTCCTCCTGCCTCTGCTCCCGCTGCTCCGCTCCCCGCCCGGTCCCCCCGCCCGGCGCCAGGGCGGCACGTCGATGCCCGTCCGCACCAGGACCTCGTGGTCCCGGAAGAAGTGGTAGACCCCCACGCCCCAGGCGCTGTGGGTCCTGGCGCCGCGCGAGGGCAGAGCGAGGCCCTCGGCGAGGGGAGGCGACGAGGAGGGCGGAGGAGGAGGAGGACGAAGAGGGGGGGAGGAGGAGGAGGAGGAGGAGGAGGAGGAGGAGGAGGAGGAGGAGGAGGAGGAGGAGGAGGAGGAGGAGGAGGAGGAGAAGGAGGACGAGGAGGAGGACGAGGAGGAGAGGAGGAGGAGGAGGAGGAGCAGGAGGAGGAAGAATTGGGGGAGGAGCATGAGGAGGGGGAGGAGGAGGGAAAGGGGAGGGAGGAAGAGGGGGAAAAGGACGAGGAGGAGAAGGAGGAGGACGAGGAGGAGGAGGAGGAGGAGGAGGAGGAGAAGGAGGAAACGAAGTGTCGAACTGGCGCCAGCGGCAGCCAGCAACCGTGGAGGTGAACCCTGTTGCGGCAGCCCGGCGAGGAGCCCGGAGAAGCGGTGCCGGCACTCTGTTGCTCTGCGAATAGGGCGCGTCCGTCGCCCCCCCGAGGCTGCGAGAACTGTCAGCTATAGCTGGCCACTGATCCACGTTCGGCGATTGCACCAAAGAGCATCAAATTTCTCAACACGCGCGGGCGAGATACGTGGTCGGCGGATATTGCGCTGTTGCCATCATGGAGATTGCTGGCCGAGGCTGCCGGACAAAAAGCGGAATTGCGTTGTACCTTTCGGCCGACTGCGCCAGTGCACCGACGTTCGTCCAGGCTGGGCAGAGCAACTTCTGACAATGGCGGGGTTCTACGGGGACACCAACAACAACCACAAAATGCTGTCAAGACCGAATTCGCCTCAAGACGTTGCTCTCGGCTTGCTTGGCGGCCCTTCGCTTCGAACTGCGATACCACACACGTGTTCCATCCCTCCGACATGTGTCAATCAATGGTGCTATACCATCGGGCCGCAATTGCGCATGTCAGGAGGCCCGGAACAAAAAGGCCTGTCAGGGGACGTCGGTACCAACCCATTCGTGGAAGATGCTGATGGTAAGAGAAAGGACCAGGGCAGATCAGATCGTGTTGAAATAATTCTGGGCGTGTTTAGCTGTCACTAGCAAACTACGAACTATTCATCATTTAGTGGCTGCCCACCTGACATGTCTAAGCCCACTGCCAAAAATAGCCTCCAGGAGAGGCCCCTCGCTCACCCTGGCACGTCTGCATCCTTGCCACTATCTCCCTCTGCCTCTCGCTCTCTGAGTATTCATCTCGCTCTCTCCATCGTTACCCCTCCTTCTGGCTACATAGTCCATTTGCACAGTTGGGGGGGGCATCTCCCCCCCCCCCCAAAAAAAAACGGGGGGCCCCCTGGACGCCTCTGCACAAAACCACCCAGTTTTCTGGGGCCCCTGAAGCCCCTGCTGGGCCTAGGCAATGGGCCCAACTCGGCGGCCGAAAGGCCCTGCGAGCGCACCAAACACCCACCATACACCCGACGACAAGCCGAACCCTGACCCTCAAAACACTTTCGAATCGCAGCTAAACGTAGACTTGTTTGCTGTTGTTTTGCTCTTGTGGGGCATGCTCCGTTCTTGGTGTCCCTGGCGACCGAGACCGCCCAGGGGTGCCCCGAAGGGCTTCCAGGCAATCCAAACAAAAACCCAAGGCGGCCCAGAAGGGCTAAAGATGGCCCGAAGAGACCCCCGTGACGGCCCCAGAAGGCCCCAAAGAAACATTCCAAATCGTGACCCGCCAGTCGTTCGGAGAGACCACTGTTGGAAACAAGGTGGCCCGAGGAAGCCCACAGTGGCCCGCAGAAGGCGCCCAGAAGAAATCTGGAAGGCTCCAAACAATCCTTGAACCAATTTTCGTAAGGCTCCGGCGAGGCTCTCCAAGGAGGAGCAAAAGCAAAAAGAGTTGAGGAGGATGGGGAAGCATTCACAGGATAGGGCGAGAATGAAGAAGAGTAAGCAAACATATGGAAACATGATAACGATTCAAAGCATAATTACGACGGTACTGGAAAAGACAACCAAAAACTATCGCTGTAAGTTCCTTTCTACCATCCTGCCCTTCCGCTTGCATACCACATTTCAAATACCAAGGTGCTTGGCGCGAAGCGCCAATGCAATCTTGTATACAAATGTATATAGATGCGTCTGTGCGATAAGTGTATGCTGTATATCAGATTGAGGGGGCCGAACGATAATTCATTATCCCTGGGTGCGTGGCTGAAATCGGGATCCGTGGTGAAGATTCTGCTTGTTGCTTTATTTCGTTGTTGTTGTTGGTGGTGTTTGTTGTTGTCGTCCCACCCGCGACC